CGTTCCTCGACTGCCCCTGGCTGCAGCCGCTCTTTGCCACCCTGGGCGCGCTGCTTCGGGCGCTGGGCCGGGACTTCTCCGCGGACGTCTACGGCCACTCCTTCCCCTACCGGGCAGCGGAGAGGGCCATATGCACCCACTGAAAAGGAAAATCAGAGAACGGTTCAGTGTTAGTGCTGGTTGTGACCTTGCAAAAGTTGTACAGTAAAATAACACCAAAGTCAACCCATCTTTTCCTCTTCCTTTCTTTCAGCTCTTCCGCCTGCTGGTGCGGGCCCGCCTCTCACTTGAGTTTGAGCATGCGGTCCTGCGGCGGACGGTGCCTACCTTCGAGGAACGCTGGGCCCTCAAGGGGGTGCTCTGCTGAGTCGAGGCGGGGCGCCTGCTCCTCGCCCTGTAACACCCCCAGCTGCTCAAGCTGCAGCGATGCGTCCGGCGGGCCGAGGCCTTGGACTTTGCTTCACGCGGGTTGGGCCCTGAGGCCCCCCATGGGTGTCCCCGCTGGCAGAAATGTAATTATGTAAATAGACCTTTGGTTCGCTATGGTTTTTTAGTCTAGAGTGTATGGGCAGGCCTTGCAGGCCGTGAGCCCAGGACCATGTCCGTGAGGCCCAGGTGTTCGGGCCAACCTGTACATACTCTTTACTGGCCCCGATTTGTCACCCTCCCTGGAATAAACGCCTCTTAAAAGTCAAAAGTCTTTCTTTCTTTTTTTCTCTCTCGCTTTCTCTCTTTCTTTTCTATTTCCCTTTTAAGGACTCAAAATATGAGAAGTTATCAGGGACAGTGAAGGTGGTCTTCAGTTTATTCACCAGAGAGGAGCAGTATAATGTGTGTGTGTGTGTGTGTGTGTGTGTGTAGTGATTTTCAATGTTTATTTGTGAGTTTTCAATTTATTGTTTGTTACCCATTTGTTGTTCTAGTACAAAGATAATTTTGGACATTAAATGCCAAGTATGACATCTGTTTATATGGGTGTGTGTGTGTGTGTGTGTGTGTGTGTATTATACAGTGAGCCCAGAGGGGCTGTGCACTTAATATTGCATAAGTCTGTGGGCCCAGATGAATTGCACCCAAGAGTCTTAAAAGAGCTGGTGGATATCACAGCATGCCCTAGGGCCAAGATATATGAAAGCTCGTGGCACTTGGGTGATATACTAGAAGACTGGAAAAGAGCCAACATGGTCCCAATCTCAAGAAAGGGAGGAAGGAAGATTCATGGAATTACAGACCTATCAGTCTGACATCCATCCCTGGAAAGATCTTGGAGAAAATTATCAAGGGATCCATCTGCAACAGGCTAATGAAAGGCAACCTACTGAATGCCAGCCAACATGGTTTTATTACTGGAAGGTCTTGCCTGACCAAACTCATCTCTTTCTATGACCAGGTGACGCATTGCCTGGACAAGGGAGATGAGGTTGATGTCATTTATCTAGATTTCAAGAAGGCCTTTAACTTGGTCTCCCATGATGTCCTCATGACCAAGCTGGGGAACTGTGGCCTTGACCATCTCACAGTTCAATGCCTGGGAAACTGGCCCCAGGGTTGGGCCCAAAGGGTACTAGTTGATGGGAACAAATCAATGTGGTGCAAGGTTACCAGTGCAGTCCCTCAGGGCTCAGTGCTCAGGCCAGTACTCTTTAATATCTTCATTAATGATCTGGATTTGGGCATCAGATGTGGACTGGCAAGATTCACGGATGGCACTAAATTATGGGGGAAGGCGGTCATACTGGAGGACAGGCTGGGGATACAGGCCAACCTGTATATGCTTGCAAAGTGGGCAGACCAAAACCTGATGGCATTTAACATAGAGAAATGTAGGGTACTCCACCTTGGGAGAAAGAACCACCATCATATTTATAGGCTCAGTGATGCTACACTTGCAACTATCATGACTGAAAGAGATTTGGGGGTCTTGGTTGACCACAAGATGAACATGAGCCACCAATGCAATACCATGGCCAGTAAAGCAAACCAAACTGGCATGCATCCACTGATGCATCACAAGCAAAACCAGGAATGTCATCCTCCCTCTTTATTCTGCCTTAGTGAGGCCACAGCTGGTATATTACATCCAGTTTTGGGCCCCCCCACTTCAGAAGGGATGTGGATAAGGTCTAGAGAGTCCAGAGGAGAGCCACTCATAGGATCAAAGGCCAAGAGAGCAAGCCTTATGAGGAGAGGCATAGTGACATGGAATTCTTCATCCTGGAGAAGAGAAGGCTCAGGAGGGACTTGGTGGCAGCCTATAAGTATATAAGGGAGGTGCATCAGGATCTGGGAGAATAGTTGTTCACCAGGGCTCCCTAAGGGATAACTAGGTCTAACAGCCACAAACTTCTAGAAGGCCAATTCAGACTTGATATAAGGAAAAACTTCTTTACAGTCCAAGTGTTCAAGGTCTGGAACAGAATCCCCCCAGAGGTGGTACAAGCACCTATGCTGGACTCATTCAAAAAGTGCTTAGATGCTT